ATATAAATTAGCCGGGTGTGGTGGTGGGCACCTGTAATCCCAGCTACCCAGGAGGCTATGGCAGAATCACTTGAACCCTAGAGGCAGAGGTTGCAGTGAGCCAAGATCACACCACTGCACTCCAGCCTGGGCGACAGAGCGAGACTGCTCCGTCTCAAAAAAAAAAAAAAAGAAAGAAAAAAGATCTTCACGAGGTGGTCTTGTGCTGCAAAGGGGCCGCCTTGAGCTGGCACGGACACTGGGCGCTGGGCAGGCAGGCCGGAGACGGGGCCTCGCCACTCACCTGCCTGCTGAGGCCAGCATAGCACTGCCGCTGGTGCAGACGCCAGGCCACCCACATCTTCAGCAACCACAGCCTGAGACCTACTGCCCCGGGTCTCGCCAGCCAGCTGGGGCCACAGGGGTGTCCACGCGTGGAGATGCTGCCCACAGAAGGGCAGCAAAGCCCCGGGGGCCACGCAGCGCCGGGCAATTGCTCACACCCTGCACACGCCCAGGGAAGGTCTGGGCCTGAGCCCTGGGAATGTCCCATCTGATGGAGGGCCCGTGTTTCTCCTGGGCCCAGGCCACCCTGGAGAGCCTGGGCTAACTTAGGGTAAGATGTGCATGGGGCCTTGGTCTGCTGGGACCAGCTCCACCTCTGGAGGGGCTGGGGCCTGAGCTCAGCTATGCCTGTGACCAACCCTGGTAGAAACCCAGACACCAGGGCACAGCGAGCCTCCCCCGGGAGGGGACAGGTGAATCGGACACCTGGTGTCTCGCAGACCCTGCCCCACACCCCCTTCCCTCTGTGATGCCGCAGCACTGAGCACCACAGCACTGCCGAATTCTATGCCCCTTCGAGATCACTGGGCCCCAGGCTCTGGTGGGGAGGCTATCTGGCACTGGGCCCTGGCTGAACTGGGGACTGCCCTTTACAAGATGGCCCACAGAGGTCCGTGGTGACTTCCCTCACCTGGAGAAATTAAAAAATGAAAGGCAGGTGCCAAATGTTTAGGGACGTTTCTACAAGATCTCATTACAATTGTTTCCTTTGAACAGGGGGAAGGCAAACTGACTAGGGCTGGGGTCAGGTATCCCTTTGAAAACACAAAGATCAGCCGGGCATGGTGACTCATGCCTGTAATCCCAACACTCTGGGGGTCGAGGTGGGTGGATTGACTGAGCTCAGGAGTTTGAGATGAGCCTGGGCAAAATGGCAAAACCCCATCTCTACTAAAAATACAAAAAATTAGCCGGTTGTGGTGGCGGGCACCTGTAATCCCAGCTACCCAGGAAGCTGAGGCAGGAGAATCGCTAGAACCCAGGAGGCGAAGGTTGCAGTGAGCTGAGATTGCACCACTGCATTCCAGCCTAGACAACAGAGCAAGACTCTGTCTTTAAAAAAAACAAAACAAACAAACAAAAACGAAAACACAAAGAGCAATGAGGAAGTCCTGCCTCAGCAGTCACTGCAAGGCTGGAGAAGTCGGGACAGGAGGAGCCCTGAGCCCCACCCACTTTGGGGCCTGGGTGCGGTACCTGGGGGGCCAGCCTTGCAGTGAGACCTGACCCGTCCCCAGCGAAGGCTCAGCAGCCCAGTCCTCGGGCGACCAGCCCCATCCTCAGCTTGGAGAGCCACCCGTTTCCCCGTCCCTTGCCTGAAACCGGGTAATGGAGCCTCTTACCTTTCTCCTGCCCCAGGGGAGGTCCCCAACCCGGTAATCCCCAGGGCGGGCCAGGCACAGCCACACTGACTGGGGCCATGGGCCGTGGGAGGAACCTGGGCAACAGGCGCACAGGTGGCTTTGACCCCGACCCCGACCCCGACCCTCGGCTGCGCACCTGCCTCACGGCCTGCTGCAGCTTCTCCAGGCTGAGCTCCTGCGCCT